AGGGTCAAAAAATCCAGGCGGGTTTCTAGCAGCACGAAATGGGACCTGGTGAGCAAAAAGCTGGGGGGCACGGCGTGCATAATATATCCCCAGACCGTACCTTTCAACTCGGTCATGCCCTGCAGTGTGCGCCGTGTAAACCCATCTCGTTTTCACAGAATTACGACCACTCTAAAACCTTCTGGAACCTTGGATGCATCGTGTTCCAACAGCGCATAGCGCGCTCTTCTGCACTCTCGGCCACCAGCTTTTTTTTGGTCCCTCTGCCCCTTAGCGAGGACCGCCCGAAGAAACTAGGTCCCGCAGTGCCCTTTTACCGTTTCTTTTTTGGGGGAGGGTTCAAAATGGACAGACAAAAACTCGGCTGTTGTTGGGAAACATGTTACATGTTTGCTTATTGTGGTTTAGTGGGAAAAATCCCCACTTTACTGCTAAAATGTTCGACTTTTTCCTCCCCAAACCCAACGTCCACCACGAAAGGGTAGCCAAATTTCCAACCTCTCGACTGGACCTGGGAAAAAGGCACCTAACCTGTCCAGCCCCTCTGCCGGAGCGCAGGACATGGGCCTGAAGCCGGAGTCAGCCCTGGGCGTTTAAGTCGGTTTGTCGGTTCTGCTTCGAGCCAAGAGGTGGGAGGTTGGACGCCTTTTGCGTTTTTTTTTTTTTGAGAGAGGTCCAGGGAAAGAAAGAACAAGACGCCTTTTTGCTGGTGTCCTTGTCGGAAGTTGAAAGGTGTCCCATTCGTTGCCGCTGAGCCCTCATAGGTACGTGGTTTTCTCCGTGATGCCGGATGTATCGCCGGCACCTCAGTTGGCGCCTCGTGTTTTCTAGCAAGGATGCGTCGGATGTGGGCGTTGCTTGCAACCGAATGGGATCTAGAAAGGTTGGAGAAACTTGGGCCACTGTTGACTAGAACACGGGACCAAAAGTCTTTCGGGGTACCAAAGATGGTACATTGTGTTATGATGCATGACATTCGAAAGAAGGCCCAAGACGGTCATGTGGCAACGCTGCAGACCCTTGCAAACGAGTTTATCCAAAAGCGGAACACCCGCAACGGTGGCATTTTGGTGTTTCCCCTTTCAATTTCATCGAGAAAGCGTCCCTCGAATTAGGACAGGCTCAGAACGTTGCTCTTGAGTTGGTTAACAAGCTGCTTTTCCAAAAGGGTCACGCCTCGTTTTGGATCCTTTGCTTTAGGGATTCACTGACTGCATTTACAGCACATCATGACTAGGCCCCGCTGGCAAGACAGCCTTGGTCAGCTTGAATGCTTGGAAACGCCATATCTTGGACAAGACTTCAAGGGAGGCAGCGGGGACCGATAGTGCGATTGGGGGCAAAAGGAGCTGGAATCCTTTTGGGTTGAAATTCCAGATGGTGTGCTTTTGGCTTCCTTTGCACACCTATGTAGGCAAGACCTCACTATTTGAGGCATATGGGGGTTAAGGGCCCTCATATTTAGAGTCCAAGGACCTCCTAGGGTAGCTAGCCATAAGGAACTGGATCCTGGGGCCAGATAGCCGGAGAGCTTAGGAAGAAGGTGGGCGCGCCTGTGCAGCGGCGTTTGATCCGGCGCATCTCTACGGAGTGACCTAGGGAAGCAACATGTTTGTGTGTGCGTGAGTGTTTCTTGGAGGGTATTCTGTTGAGGTCGGTTCAGCTGGCCATGGTCATATTTGGTCACCCTGAACCCTAAACCGCTGGCCATGGCCATCCAGCAATTGATGATTCGGGTATTTGTCAACATGAGCGGACGCCCAAAATACTGGATGTTCTGTTGGCTTCCCTTTAAACTACCCTTAAAACCTCAACAGGCACAAACCCACATCGCCAAGCCGAAACGGGGAGTTGACAAACATGACCCAAACCTCCACTGGGGCATCTCTTTTCTTTCCTTTTCCGTGAGGGGTTTCTCTTTGAGATCAACGACCAAAGTTGCCCGCTGTTTTCAGCCACGGGAGGGACGTTGTGGGGCTTGCTGCTGCCACAGCCGCCTTTTACACATATGCCTACAAGAAGGTTTTGGTGCATGGGTGTGTTGTTCTTTGGGGTTCTCGTTTGGGTGTTTTCTTTCAAGGACAGCCACATTTTAAGGCTTCCCGAATGTTGAGCCAACCTCAAGTTGCATGTGTGTTGCATGTTTGTTGTATGTTGCATGTGATATCCACAGCTATTTTGGCGCTTCAAGCACTTTCGACTCCTTTGGGCGCCAGCTGGCCCTTCTCATTTTAGTTTTCTTTTGTTTTGTGTGTGTGTTGTTTGTTTTCGTTGTTTTGTTTTTTTTCAGATTTGCAGTTAGTATCTTAGAACACTAGTTTGGCATGTTAGCACTCATCATTTACATGTCATCTTTTGCGTAACCTGTTCAAGCGCTGGAGTCGTCTCTCACCTTGTGGGCTGCATGGGGCCAAACGCATTCCGACGACTTTGAAGTCGAAGCGAAGCGGTTGGAGGTACCCCTCGCCGGTGCACACCATCGCACTCACGGAGCAGTACATCGTGATGATCCAGATCCCTTACCCTCTGAATTGGGCCTTTGGCCTCAGCGGGTTGGATGAATGTGGCTAGCGCTCAGGGCCAAGAAGAGGTAGAACCTGGCTATATCCTAGTTGGATCAATGGAACATGGCACCATCCCTTGGCCCCAGGGGGTTGGTTGGGTGGATGAATGGACATGGCGCCATGTTGTTTTTTGGAGTTGGAACCACTTCAAAAGTAAAATCATCTCCACCTAAATGAGGTTCAGCAAAGGGTCCTGCCCAAAACATTCACACCCAAATCGTGTATAAAAAAGGGGTCGCGTAATTTCTAGTTGGGGGTGTAGATGTGAAGTACGAAACTGGTAGCGACGGTCACGATTGTGTGGAAATGTGTTCTGATCGATTGCGGGATGAAGACTGCTGATTAGGCAGCAATGTGTGAGTGCTGGTTGGATTTGGTTGGATTTAGGCAGAGTACTAGCTGCAGACAATGGTACATGAATTGAAACGGCGCATGCTGAAAGGTTTGAAGGTCTCTTGACGTGGCTCTGTAGAGTCAGCCAGCCGCGACTGCGTGTCTCTTGGCCGATCCTAGGGTTGGGGCAGTGAGGCAGGTTTCTGGGGGCCCAAAGAGATACTTGTGGTGCTTGTTTCTAACCTCATGTTAGGTTTAATGAAGTTTTGAAGATGTCCCTTGGGTGATATGTATGCATATGTGTGTATGTGTGTGGCATATGCAGATCGGTGTAGCAAACCAGGATGGGATGCTGAACGCGGAGGCCAAGTGGCTTATGAACGGACGTGGCCTCAGCTTGTGGCGAAAGCTGCTCAGAACCTGGACTTCAGGCAGAGTCAGTGTGTTGACTGTTGCTTTTCTATGGCTCATCAAAGTCAGAAACTAGGGGCTGTCGCTGCGGCGCTCATTTGTTGAGATTTTGTGCATGGGTCAAAGTCAGAAATGGTCGTTGAGGGTGACTTTGACAATGGTAAAACGGATGGGCCAGTTTTTGGGAAGACCATTTTACTGCCACAAAGATGTTGTTTGTCTTGTGTTGGCTGTGTGGACAATCTCCAGGAATCTGCGCCCCCCCAAGAGAAAAGCCACGCACATTGAAAATGACATGGAAATTTCTGGAGCATCTCCTCTGCCGTGGTTTCGACCTCTGACGTGTTGTGTTTGAAGATTTTGACTCGCGCAGCGTGAGCTCCAGAGCCGAGGTGTCTATGAGGGCAACCTGAATGACTACAACACCTGGCAACCCGAGCGTCTGCTGCCCCAGATTCGACATGCCCTGGGATTGCGCCGTGTTCGGGCCTTCCCTGCACTGGCCTTTGCAAGTCATTTTCTCCTTTGTGTTTTTGGTGCTGTTCATTTTGAATGAGAACCTATAAAGAACTAGAAGCCTTTGCAAAACAACCCGAGGTCTGCAGTGTCCCATCTCTTTGTCAGGTGCAGATTTTGTCCGGCCACAAGAAGTTCACTTGAACTGACCTCAACTTTCATCTCTTTTTGGGTTGTCTCTTTTGGCGCATTTTCCAGTGCTTGCAGCTACCATTATAGTAGCCAGGGCAAGCCATCATGTAAAAGTCACCTGGCTGCGGCTCAAATAAATGTACCAAAATGGCACCTTGGCAAATGGAACCAAAGACTAAAACCTGCGTAACCCTGGGTCTTTGATTTAGAGCCACACCCACCTGGCTTCCTGCTAGGGTGTTTGGAAACACCGGACCGGGTTTTGCGAGCGTCCACGCGCTCGCCGCTCGAGGTCCCACCATGATCCGTGTCATCAACCGAACCACCGGGGAGGAGACCGGCTTCTTCGAGACCGATCCGTGCGCGCCCAGATGGAATCGATGCCTTCACTGGCGCCAAAGCGCAGGTGGACCAACTCCAAATACTTCAATGACTACTTTTGCCTCGGTTGGATTTGGGAAAAAGCTGCTTCTTCATGGTAAGTACCTCTTTTTGTATCAGGGGTTGATATGATACCACTAAAAATGATGGTATCTTGGAGGGGCGAGCCCTTTGCTGCACTTTCCACGCTTGTCAGGAGGAGGGTGGCCAAGTTGGGAGAAGATGGTGACGAGTAGTGAGGAAAAGTCATAGGATGGATATCAACCATATTTTTCGGCATCATGTTTTCCACGATGGTCGCCCTGGCTCATATTCTCAGCTTTCGCGGCCTTTCGCCTTTTGCATGCTTCCCACAGGATCCAGCGCCTGAAATCCCCATGTTCCGCCCAAACTAATTAGAAGCTTCCGGGTCCATGTTGGCAGACCTTAGTTTGCATGGCCCTGAACACGAACTCATATTGAGTTCCAGTTCCTTTGCAACCTTTTACAATAAACTGATAGCGGCCCACCTAAAACCGATATCCATCAACCTGCAAACTTGTCTGGGGGCAACAACAAAAATAGCGATACTCTGATGCTCTCGTAAGAACGACCATTGCAATGGTCCATCGCTGAGCAGATGCCTGTCCCGCGCTGCTTCGCGCTGCTTACGCGGACGAATGGATGAACCGCGAGCTGTTTGCAGCCTTGGCGCTGGATGGGAACAGCGAGGAGGAGGCGCACAGCTGGGCCCATGTCAGCATTTTGGCGTGGTTTAAATGGAACACTGGAAACAGAGAAGTAGACAAAAGCCTGCGGTGTCCCTTTGGCGGATGGTAGGTGGTGTCTATGGTTAGGGTGTTATTTCACGTCTAAGTATAAAAGTCGACTCAAATAATGTTAGGGTGGTGTCCCTTTGGGGATTTCAGGATGTGACTGATGTGAACATTTCAGTCGGTCGACGGTTTGGGCCCAAGGCCTTGAACCTTGATGTGCGTGTGCGGCATATGCTTCAAAGTATCAAAGGCGAAACCCACGTAGAAGCAGCTTTTCTGGCGGTTGGACATGTATCCCCAAACATGAATCTTACCCCACATGCTCGCCTGGGTTGAACAACACTTGGTAAGTTAGCATCCAACAAACAGTTACCTGGGGTGCGAATCCTGGCTTGAGCAACACGTTGGGTCAGCGGGGGTGAGAGAGTGCCGCGCTTTGGATAACCGCTTTTGTCAAGCGATATCATATCCATCCACTTCAAGTCAGCGTGCAACTCAGCAGGCGCGACAGTATATTCATGCTGCCGCCTAGCCGCAAAACCAAGGCAAAACACGTGTGCTTGATGCACAGGTCTTGAACGTGCGGCTTGAGATGTGATGGAAATCATAGCGTAGCTGGTGCAGCCACAAGGACAAAGTGAGAGCCCTGGTGGCTCCCAACGGTCCCCTGAGGTTTTTAGGTTATTGGTTATTGGTTAGGTGTCCATGTTATCCACAAGTTCGTCACGTCTCGCAGACCTGAAAAAAGGGGCAGCCCTTGAAACCCGGTTGCGCCCAAGCCAACCGAAACTCGCCGAAACTCGGAGGCCCGGGTGCTTTTCCAGCCGGTGCTGCAGCGCTGGCGCACCCAGCCGCGGCTCGCCACCTCCGGGCTGCGGGCCTTGGCGCGCTTTCCGAACACCGGACCGCAGGCGCCGAGGGAGTGGGGCACGGCTCAGAAAAAGACTTGGGGACCCGCAAAAAGGCCGGCGCCATGAGGCCCTCGGTTGATCCAAAGGTCCGAAGATGGGATGACCAGTGGTTGGAGGAACGTATTAATATGTTTAATTTCCCCTGAGTAGGAAACCAATCACTACTGGAAATCTGTCTAGGTTTTTTAGTAGTGCCCTTCCTTTGTTTCCGGGGAGGGCGTCTCACAAAATTGTGGGGACCCACAAAACTGGCGCTAGGTCCTGCTCTTCCTTTTTTTGCGGGGAGGGCGTCTCACAAAATTTTGGGGACCCACAAAACTGGCTCTGTCCCGAAGCTGGGAGCCCTTTTTAACCGATTCCTTATTTGGTTGGGAGGGTTCCCCTACTAAAATAAACGACAGAAAAAAGTTGGTACTCTTATTCTAAACTCTCTACAGGAGGACCTAGCTGGGTTTCCGAACCGTTTCCCGGCTTGGAACTTGGAAGGGGACACCGCCAGTGAGTTGCAACTATCGGAGTGGAAATCCAGTGAACAATGGTGGTGTTCCTTTTGGTTTTCGTTTAAAACGACAAACACACGGATGCTAAGAAGCGAAATCGCTTGGCGCCAAAACCAACCAGGGGGGGGTGGTTGCTAAAGCAAGACACAGCCACTTAGCGCCACAACGGAGTCCTATTGCCAGGTATATAAGCCTTATGACCATCTGGAACCAAAAGTCAGCAGGTTTTGCTGCACGGACACTAAGAGTCAAGTTTGCAGCCAAGAACCCCCAAAAAGCCAGCACCCTGCAAAAAAGTAGTTGCTGATAGGCCCGAAGCATCCATCACACGGAAGGGCTCTCTAGGGTGGGAGCTCTACGTTTGGGGAGGGGTGAGTTTCGGGGGAGAGTTCTGTTTTGCTTCAGGGGACAGGTCTACTGCAGATACTTGGATTGTTGGTGTTCGAGTTTAAACCCTTTTTCGAGGTTGTTTTTAAGGGAAACTAAAGGGAAGTCATCTACGAGTTGTGTTTGCTGTGGGGGTTGGTCCTTGTGGGAAAGCAAGAGTAACCCACCCATGGAGTTCCACCATTTCGTGTCTTTTTGCCTTCTATTGGGGTTATTTGGTCTAGGGGTTACCAAAATCAGAATTCAGGAGTAAAGAGCCTCATGATCAAAACCCAAAGGATGAATGTGGTTGTCAAATCCCTTTCGGGATCCCATGTCTGGGGTAGGTGAATTCACCCATTTTAGAACCTGTTTTAGTGGGGGTTGGGATGTTCACTGGGGGGTAACCGGGATTTTGACCCATGGCCATGTATGAACTTGGTCAAAACCTCGTCGGAGTGATTCCCCATTCTTTTTTCAACCATCGTTCTTTTCTCCAAAAACAAACAGGTGGATCTGTTTCCCTGGGTTTTTGATGGTTTCCTGGAAAGATTCGGATCCCTGGACAGAATGGACATGGAAGGTACCAGTAGAACTTTTCTGCGGCAGGCGGCTCTGCGCTTGCTGCGGGCCATGGGACGGCAGCGTCTGGAGGTGAACGGCTTTCACCTCAGCGCGGCCATGGCAGGCGACGGAAACTGAGACTGTTGGCGCATCCCCTCAACAGGGCTCCTTAAAAGAAATTTTTTTCAACCATTTGAAACATGTTGCTTTTTCAACACCAAAACAAGGGGAACCACCATTTACAAGGCAATGTTCAGGTGTATACTGTAAGGATCCCTGCTTTATGTGAACCCCGGATGAAGCACCTCTTTGCTTGGTGGCTCCCAGCCATCCGGTTCCTGAGCTTTTTAGATCCTTTAAGTGTTTAGTGGTAGTTTCCGTTTAGCCCACTAGAAGTTAAACTTTCGGGGGATCTGAGGACAGTCCAGCTACCAATTTAGTGAATGCTTCAGGTTTGTGGGTGACACTTTCAGAGGTTCTCATTCGACAAAAAAATGAATATGGGAGGGTGCCCCCCAGCTCTCCTTCTAAATGGGTCCATTCCAGTTTAGTGCCCAGGTAGGGGGGATCCTCAGATTCAGCTTTGAAAGCTTTCAGTGGATGGACCAAGACCCGCCAGGCTTCAGTTGGGATACATGAAACCCAATGAATGCTGATGTCTCTGTCCGCAGAATCGAGCCAGGATTTTGCCCATCCACAGTTGACACAATGGATGAGACTGTCCTGAGTGCCACATTTGGTTCTCTCCCTTGGACAACAAGGGAACACGCAGAGCCAATGCCGAACATCGGATACGAGTTGAAGGTGCCCAAATGACGTGAGGTTGACCGATGAAGTTCGTTGATTGTTGGCATTGTTGATCCCTCTGATTTTCGCTTGAGAGATACATGACACAAGCACGCAGCATTGAGTTTGAAACGCGTGGTGATGAACTTGTGCGATCTTTGCCAAGGATGAGCTTTGACATCACAACACCCTTTAGCTGACAGCTGTGCTGAAAGCAACTAGGTTCATCCCTCTGAGGAAGACTTGAGCAATCGAAGACCCAAGCACGTAGCATTGGCGGATAATCAGGATTGGCACTTGCTGAGTTTGAGGCGTGTGGTGATGAACTTGTGCGGTCTTTACCTAGGATGAACTTTGACATCACAACACCCTTTAGCTGACAGCTGTGCTGAAAGCAACTAAGTACTTAGCCTCATGCATTTTTTTCAGTTGAAGCCCAAAGGCAAGATTCGAAACAAACAAGCAAGCAAGCAAACAAAAAAACACCCACCCACCCACCCACCCACCCACCCACCCACCCACCCACCCACCCACCCACCCACCCACCCACCCACCCACCCACCCACCCACCCACCCACCCACCACCGATCAACCAACCCACACGCGCGCATACAGTTGACAGTTTGCTAAACCCAAAGTCTCGCCGAGCAACGTGTCTCGACTACACAACCTGGGCACAAGGCACAAGCGGAGGGTTAGGATTGGCACTTGTTGATTTTGAGGCATGTGGTGATACATTTGCGCGATCTTTGCCAAGGATGAGCTTTGACATCACAACACCCTTTAGCTGACGGCTGTGCTGAAAGCAACTAGGTTCATCCCTCTGAGGAAGACTTGAGCAATCGAAGACCCAAGCACGTAGGATTGGCGGAGCATTAGGATTGGCATTCATTGAGTTTGAAACGCGTGGTGATGAATTTGTGCGATCTTTGCCAAGGATGAGCTTTGACATCACAACACCCTTTAGCTGACAGCTGTGCTGAAAGCAACTAGGTTCATCCCTCTGAGGAAGACTTGAGTAATGGAAGGCCCCAAGCACGTAGAATTGGCGGAGATTCAGGATTGGCATTCATTGAGTTTGAGGCATGTGCATCTTTGCCAAGGATGAGCTTTGACATTACAACACCCTTTAGCTGACAGCTGTGCTGAAAGCAACTAGGTTCATCTCTCTGAGGAAGACTTGAGCAATCGATGACCCAAGCACATAGCATTGGCGGAGGATTGGCACTTGTTGACTTTGAGGCATGTGGTGATGAATTTGCGCGATCTTTGCTGAGCTTTGACATTACAACACCCTTTAGCTGACAGCTGTGCTGAAAGCAACTAGGTTCATCCCTCTGAGCAAGACTTGGGTAATGGAAGGACCCAAGCACGTAAAATTGGCGGAGGGTTCGGATTGGCATTCGTTGAGTTTGAGGCATGTGCTAATGAATTTGCGCGATCTTTGCCAAGGATGAGCTTTGACATTACAACACCCTTTAGCTGACAGCTGTGCTGAAAGCAACTAGGTTCATCCCTCTGAGGAAGACTTGAGTAATGGAAGGACCCAAGCACGTAGAATTGGCGGAGATTCAGGATTGGCATTCATTGAGTTTGAGGCATGTGCATCTTTGCCAAGGATGAGCTTTGACATTACAACACCCTTTAGCTGACAGCTGTGCTGAAAGCAACTAGGTTCATCCCTCTGAGGAAGACTTGAGTAATGGAAGGACCCAAGCACGTAGAATTGGCGGAGATTCAGGATTGGCATTCATTGAGTTTGAGGCATGTGCTAATGAATTTGCGCGATCTTTGCCAAGGATGAGCTTTGACATTACAACACCCTTTAGCTGACAGCTGTGCTGAAAGCAACTAGGTTCATCCCTCTGAGGAAGACTTGAGTAATGGAAGGACCCAAGCACGTAGAATTGGCGGAGGGTTAGGATTGGCATTCGTTGAGTTTGAGGCACGTGCTAATGTATTTGCGCGATCTTTGCCAAGGATGAGCTTTGACATTACAACACCCTTTAGCTGACAGCTGTGCTGAAAGCAACTAGGTTCATCCCTCTGAGGAAGACTTGAGTAATGGAAGGACCCAAGCACGTAAAATTGGCGGAGGGTTAGGATTGGCATTCGTTGAGTTTGAGGCACGTGCTAATGTATTTGCGCGATCTTTGCCAAGGATGAGCTTTGACATTACAACACCCTTTAGCTGACAGCTGTGCTGAAAGCAACTAGGTTCATCCCTCTGAGGAAGACTTGAGCAATCGAAGACCCAAGCCCATAGCATTTGCGGAGCATTAGGATTGGCATTCATTGATTTTGAAACGCGTGGTGATGAATTTGTGCGATCTTTGCCAAGGATGAGCTTTGACATCACAACACCCTTTAGCTGACAGCTGTGCTGAAAGCAACTAGGTTCATCCCTCTGAGGAAGACTTGAGTAATGGAAGGACCCAAGCACGTAGAATTGGCGGAGAGTTAGGATTGGCATTCATTGAGTTTGAGGCATGTGCATCTTTGCCAAGGATGAGCTTTGACATTACAACACCCTTTAGCTGACAGCTGTGCTGAAAGCAACTAGGTTCATCCCTCTGAGGAAGACTTGAGCAATCGAAGACCCAAGCCCATAGCATTGGCGGAGGATTGTGATTGGCACTTGTTGAATTTGAGGCATGTGGTGATGAACTTGTGCGGTCTTTACCAAGGATGAGCTTTGACATCACAACACCCTTTAGCTGACAGCGTGCTGATAGCAACTAGGTTCATCTCTCTGAGGAAGACTTTAGCGACATCCCATTTGCGGAGGATAAGGATTGGCATTTGTTGATTTTGAGGCGTGTGGTGATGAACTTGTGCGATCTTTGCCAAGGAAGAGCTTTGACATCACAACACCCTTTAGCTGACAGCTGTGCTGAAAGCAACTAGGTTCATCCCTCTGAGGAAGACTGTAGCGACATCCCATTTGTGGAGGATTAGGATTGATATTCGTTGAGTTTGAGGCATGTGCTAATGTTTTTTTTTGCGCGATCTTTGCGACAAGGATGAGCTTTGACATCACAACACCCTTTAGCTGACAGCTGTGCTGAAAGCATCTAGGTTCATCCCTCTGAGGAACACTTGAGCAATCGAAGACCCAAGCACGTAGCATTGGCGGAGGATTTCGATTGGCACTTGTTGATTTTGAGGCATGTGGTGATGTTTTTGCGCGATCTTTGCCAAGGATGAGCTTTGACATCACAACACCCTTTAGCTGACAGCTGTGCTGAAAGCAAGTAGGTTATTCATCTGAGGAAGACTTGAGCAATCGAAGACCCAAGCCCGTAGCATTGGCGGAGGATTGTGATTGGCATTCGTTGAGTTTGAGGCATGTGCTAATGAATTTGCCCGATCTTTGCGCCAAGGATGAGCTTTGACATTACAACACCCTTTAGCTGACAGCTGTGCTGAAAGCAACTAGGTTATTCATCTGAGGAAGACTTGAGCACTCGAAAACCCAAGCACATAGCATTGGCGGAGGATTGGCACTTGTTGACTTTGAGGCATGTGGTGATGAATTTGCGCGATCTTTGCCAAGGATGAGCTTTGACATCACAACACCCTTTAGCTGACTGCTGTGCTGAAAGCAACTAGGTTATTCATCTGAGGAAGACTTGAGCAATCGAAGACCCAAGCACATAGCATTGGCGGAGCATTAGGATTGGCACTTGCTGAGTTTGAGTTGTGTGATGAACTTGTGCGATCTTTGCCAAGGATGAGCTTTGACATCACAACACCCTTTAGCTGACAGCTGTGCTGAAAGCAACTAGGTTCATCCCTCTGAGGAACACTTGAGCAATCGAAGACCCAAGCACATAGCATTGGCGGAGGATTAGGATTGGAATCTGCGCGATTATTACCAAGCATGAGCTTTGACATCACAACACCCTTTAGCTGACAGCTGTGCTGAAAGCAACTAGGTTCATCCCTCTGAGGAAGACTTGAGCAATCGAAGACCCAAGCACGTAGCATTGGCGGAGGTTTAGGATTGGCACTTGCTGAGTTTGAGGCGCGTGGTGATGAACTTGTGCGATCTTTGCCAAGGATGAGCTTTGACATCACAACACCCTTTAGCTGACAGCTGTGCTGAAAGCAACTAGGTTCATCCCTCTGAGGAACACTTGAGCAATCGAAGACCCAAGCACATAGCATTGGCGGAGGATTTGGATTGGCATCTGCGCGATTATTACCAAGGATGAGCTTTGACATCACAACACCCTTTAGCTGACAGCTGTGCTGAAAGCAACTAGGTTCATCCCTCTGAGGAAGACTTGACCAATCGAAGACCCAAGCACGTAGCATTGGCGGAGGTTTAGGATTGGCACTTGCTGAGTTTGAGGCGCGTGGTGATGAACTTGTGCGATCTTTGCCAAGGATGAGCTTTGACATCACAACACCCTTTAGCTGACAGCTGTGCTGAAAGCAACTAGGTTCATCCCTCTGAGGAACACTTGAGCAATCGAAGACCCAAGCACATAGCATTGGCGGAGGATTAGGATTGGCATCTGCGCGATTATTACCAAGGATGAGCTTTGACATCACAACACCCTTTAGCTGACAGCTGTGCTGAAAGCAACTAGGTTCATCCCTCTGAGGAAGACTTGACCAATCGAAGACCCAAGCACATAGGATTGGCGGAGGATTCGGATTGGCACTTGTTGATTTTGAGGCATGTGGTGATGAATTTGCGCGATCTTTGCGCCAAGGATGAGCTTTGACATCACAACACCCTTTAGCTGACAGCTGTGCTGAAAGCAAGTAGGTTATTCATCTGAGGAAGACTTGAGCAATCGAATACCCAAGCACGTAAAATTGGCGGAAGATTAGCATTGGCATCCGTTGAGATTGAGGCATGTGCTAATGAATTTGCGCGATCTTTACCAAGGATGAGCTTTGACTTCCCAACACCCTTTAGCTGACAGCTGTGCTGAAAGCAACTAGGTTCGTCCCTCTGAGGAAGACTTGAGCAATCGAAGACCCAAGCACGTAGCATTGGCGGAGGATTAGGATTGGCACTTGTTGAATTTGAGGCATGTGGTGATGAATTTGCGCGATCTTTGCGCCAAGGATGAGCTTTGACATCACAACACCCTTTAGCTGACAGCTGTGCTGAAAGCAACTAGGTTCATCCCTCTGAGGAAGACTTGAGCAATCGAAGACCCAAGCACGTAGCATTGACGGAGGATTAGGATTGGCACTGGTTGATTTCGAGGCATGTGGTGATGAATTTGCGCGATCTTTGCCGAGGATGAGCTTTGACATCACAACACCCTTTAGCCGACAGCTGTGCTGAAAGCAACTAGGTTATTCATCTGAGGAAGACTTGAGCAATCGAAGACCCAAGCACATAGCATTGGCGGAGCATTAGGATTGGCACTTGCTGAGTTTGAGGCGTGTGATGAACTTGTGCGATCTTTTCCAAGGATGAGCTTTGACATCACAACACCCTTTAGTTGACAGCTGTGCTGAAAGCAACTAGGTTCATCCCTCTGAGGAACAGTTGAGCAATCGAAGCCCCTAGCACATAGCATTGGCGGAGGATTAGGATTGGCATCTGCGCGATTATTACCAAGGATGAGCTTTGACATCACAACACCCTTTAGCTGACAGCTGTGCTGAAAGCAACTAGGTTCATCCCTCTGAGGAAGACTTGAGCAATCGAAGACCCAAGCACGTAGCATTGGCGGAGGATTAGGATTGGCACTTGTTGATTTTGAGGAATGTGGTGATGAATTTGCGCGATCTTTGCGCCAAGGATGAGCTTTGACATCGCAACACCCTTTAGCTGATAGCTGTGCTGAAAGCAACTAGGTTATTCATCTGAGGAACACTTGAGCAATCGAAGACCCAAGCACATAGCATTGGTGGAGGATTAGGATTGGCATTCGTTGAGTTTGAGGCGCGTGGTGATGAACTTGTTCGATCTTTGCCAAGCATGAGCTTTTACATCACAACACCCTTTAGCTGACAGCTGTGCTGAAAGCAACTAGGTTCATCCCTCTGAGGAAGACTTTAGCGACATCCCATTTGCGGAGGATTAGGATTGGCATTCGTTGAGTTTGAGGCGTGTGGTGATGAACTTGCCCGATCTTTCACGACACCCGTTTGCTGACCGCTGTGCTGAAAGCAACTAGGTTCATTGGTGGTGGTGACATTGCATGATATGTTTCTTTTATGAGGCTTCACATCAGAACACCCTTTAGCTGACAAATGCGTTGACTGTGATAAAGCTTGTGTCTCCCAAGGCTTGTCATTGGACAGCCTTGTTTCTTGGGTTGAATTGTAAGACGACTCTTTACTTGTACCAGGTACTGTAGTTGCCTTCCGCTGCAAAGCTTTGCGCAAAACCATCCTTGTGACCTGCTCCTTCGGGACTTGTGAGGACATATTAGTGGACCCGTAAATGACGCCAACAATATTTGTGCGGGTACGCCTCTTTGCGGTTTTAAAGGGAAACCGAAATAACTTTGGGGTTCTCCTTTGACGTTGAACGAGCCCATCCCAGGCAAGCCATAGGTAGCCAGAGGTGTTCTTTGTGGTTTAGTTAAGCTGGCACATGGAATGTGGGCTCATGCTTTTGACAATATGCTGGGTGTCAAAGTAAGAAACAGCTTGGTTGTTTCCCCTTTACCTACCACGGACTTTGAACATGGTGAAATATTGGAGCCGGTGGAATCTGGGCGAATTATAACGACGACGCGCTTTTCCGGGGTTTGCGAGGTCACCCATGAAGGTGTTTGTCATTCTTACTTTCGGTTTGTAATCTATACAATCATTTGTCAAGATGGGATCACAAGGGTAAGTCACTGAGACCAGTTTTATGCTCGCCGTATCTCTGGGCTGTGGCGAATCTTTTGGACCCCTCGTCAAAGTGTACGGGTCCAAACATATCTCTCTGGTTGCCCTTACAAGGAAACCCAGGGTTTCAAGGCGAAACAAACCGCAAAACTAAGCATAAACCAAAAGATGTTGCAATGCTTGCCCAAGGAGGCAGGCTACTTAGCAAGAAGTTAACAAGCATAAATATCTAGCATTTATTTCTATAATAGTAAAAAATACAAGCATGGCTTCTAACTACTTACTAAGTAGCCGATCGCCTTATAATAAGTAGTCTTGCTGAACAGCAGTTTCCGATGTGACAAGGAATAACCCCCTCCGACGGAGTAGCCAAAGCCGTTTTAGGCTCCCTTTTTTCCGCAGGGTTCAATATATGTATACATATATATATATATATATATGTATATCCCACACAATCCATGTACGCAACGTATACCAACATATGGTGCATTTGCATGGCGTTTTTGTGGATACCTGGAGTCTCAATGACCCTTTAATAATGGGGTCATGACCCGATTATCTAGGGTAATGGCCCCATTTTTAAAGGGTCATGGAGACTCCAGGTAAATATTACACGGATTGCTCGGGCTTCCCCCCCAAAAAAAAGAAAAGCGACTCTCTGCGGGTTTCTGTTCGCGAGTCCAGGTGGAGACTGGCAGGTGTCTTTGTTCCTGCTGGCGGACTTCGTCGAAGGCTCCGATGTGAAAGCCCGGAATGCTGCGATGGCGAGCTGCGAGAAGGCCGGGGACCTTTGCAGCAAAGGTCGATGCAGCCCGTTTTTCGGGAAACGTGGCGGCCAAGAAGGCCATCCGGTGTCTGCCGGCTTTTTCGCCTTTCGGTGGGTTTCTTGGGGAAAATTTCAAGGGCCAAAGTCCAGTTACAATTTAGAGTATGTTTTTGATTTTGCCCGGTTGGTTTTAAAGGGAATCTATCACTACTGGATATGTTTTTTTCCAACGGGACTTAAGCAAATGGAGGGGGACCTTTGCTTTTCAGCCCGTCTTTGGAAAAGCCAGGGCCCCCGTCCGTTTGCTGTAGAGTATGTTTTATTTATTTTCATTTCCCCTGTTGATTTGAAATCTATCACTACTATTTGTGATTATCCATGGGAGAAGAAGGATATGGGCTAAATCGATTTGTGACTTTCCGGGATGTTAAGGGAATACACTGAACCCCTGTTGTATGTCTTCCTCATACTCAGAGTGGGGCTTGCAAGCCAGATGCACACTTGCTCTGCGAGTTCCTGGAACTCACATTTGTTCGGTTGGTGCTTTAGCATTATTCAAGTGGGCAGCAATTCACTTGGTGGCTCCCAGCCATCCGGTTCCTTAGCTTTTTAGCCTGTCAGAGTTTGGTGGAAATCTTCATTCAACCCACTAAAAGTGAAACTTTTAGCAGGGGAGAGGGCAGCCCAGCTCGGTCAAGGGTGCTACTTCTCGGTGCAAGGTTATGATCGAAGGTCATCCTTGTCTCACGCTCTGAGCCTCTGAGCTGTCATGTCCCCTGCAACTTGACAGAATGGCCTCCAAACAGGCGCCAAATAGGAGGCTCATCGAAGATCTAAGCATAAGCTTTTTTGGGGGTTGACTTTGTGGAGAACTCGAAGGGTTTGAAATAGAGACCCGTTTGGATGATGGAGGCCGCGGTTCGAAAAGGGGATGTCTTCTTTTGGCTTTCTCGGGATACCTTCAAAGACCACTTGCTTCGCAACTTTGGCTTCCTTTGTTCAAAAAGGGGATGCTGCGACCAAAAAGATGATTCAGTCCTGCGCAGAACATCGGCTAGGTGTCCGACTTCCCTTCAAATGAAGGACCAACATAGGAGCAAAAAGGGATCGGATGCCATTTTTCTGGGTCCATATAAAATAAGACATCCTGAAAGTAAAAGTACCGCCAGCCAAGCAATAGCAATTTTGAGAACCCCTCAAATAGGCTTCTTCATGCTTCTCAACAATCCCATTTGCTGTGATACCAACATGGCCCATCCCCATAGCTTCTTTTTTACGCAAAAGGGGATTTCCGTGTCGCATGTATTAAAAAGCTGGCCAAACTGGCCTTTTCTTTCAGACCTCCCTCTCAAAAGGGCACCGATTGGTCACGAAGGTTCTTTCTTCTCAACTATGTTAGAGGAGATTTGGGTGTGGGTCAAAATTAAGCCACCAGGATATGGACCGCAGGTTTTCGTCTTTGGTTCCATTTACCAGGGCAAGCCATTTAGGGTTACCCTATTTTTGACCCACAGCCATTTGGATCAAATGATAGAAAGAGGCTTCTAAGCAATCCGGCAGCAGAATCTGAGGCTCCCATGGCAACGGGGATTCCCGTTCCTGTAGAAAGTGTTAGAGGAGATTTGGATCAAGTTCTAGTGCTTTTCTCCATGTCCATTCTTTCCGGGGATCCTTCTTAGAAAACCTCCGGAAACCCCGGCAAACGGATCCGGTGTTTGAAAAGAACGATGGTGGAACATCATGGAATTGGAATCGACCCTTAAAGAATAGAAAGAGGCTTTAAACCATCCGGCCTGCTCAAAATCTGAGACTCCCCTGTGGACAACACTTCGGCGCCATTTGGGACCTACGAAATTTGGGGATAAACCACCTACCAGCCGGCGCAGGGTTTTGTTCATCCACGGAATGAGGACTCAGGTGAGTCAGGTGAGTCACTCACTGCCAGTTCTCCCAGTTTTTGAAACCTTTTTAGGGAAGACCAGTTGAGTGGTAAGCCAAACAGTTGGACGGCAAGGAACAAATATGGGTCCCCTATTTTGAGAACCCAACAATAAATGGTTGGCCCTCCTTTTTTTTGTGGGCGTTTCCCAACAGATTGGCTTCTGCTTGTTTTCCCTTCAAGCTTGCAAAAGCATTATCTTTCCTTTTGTTAGTTCTCCCAGTTTTTGAAACCTTTTTTGGGAAGACCATTTGAGTGGTAAGCCAAACGGTTGGACCTTTTCTTGGCCAATCCACTCGTTCGGAAGTCTTCGCTGCTGTGGTCGCTCCTAGGCCTCGGCTTGGCAAGCTGCCTGCCTGCTGCTAGAAGCAGACGCAGCTCTCCGGGAATCGGAAGGAGCCGGCTCGCTTTCTGGGTGTCCTTAGCCGGGCAAAGCGAGTCTCTAAGACGAGTGGTCCCCCAGCAATTGGTGCTCTTTCTCTCACCCATTTCTTTTTTGGTTAGGAGGGTTCCCCTACTAAAATAGACCACAGAAAAGAGTTGGGACCCGTATTCTAACCTCTCCACTGGAGTAGTAGGTGATGTCCGCGATTCCTTTTTCACCTCATCAATTTTGATGGTTTGTGCATGATTAGGTGTATATTTTATCACCTCATTCATGTCGTGGCCGTCACCAAAGATGAGGTGGAACCTACACGTGACAATTTGTCACCTCACTGTTTGCCCGGCCCCTAGTCTGAATTCATCACCTCATTCATCTGCTGAGGTAGATGTGGCTTCACTTCGCACTTCTTCGAGAGGCAGGGGTTTCGTCTTGGAGTTGTTGCCTCATCACCAATCAATAAGGTGGAAAAATGGTGTCGTGCTCACCTCTTCTTTCATTGGTTTGGAATTATGACCTCATCACCAGACGATGCGGTAAAAAGTGCCAGTCGTTTTCACCTCATCTTGGGCCACATTGCTGCATTGCCCCGCAGCTATTCGGATCATCAGATCATCACATCTAGTGCCAGCATACAAATTCCTTGTGCGGAAATGTCCATCTACCAGCGCATCGCATCGCTCTGTCGGTCTCTGTTGCTGAGGTGAATATGGCCTGCGAGATGCTTCTGCAGGCAGGGGCTTTCATTGCCTCATCATGACGCATTGAGGTGGGAAGTGGGCGTAGGATTGGCCTCATCATGAGCCACTGTACTTCATTGCTCCGCAGCTGTTTGGATCATTGCCTCACACTGCTCCATCCTCTTTCAATTCTCATCGGATCATGTACGCTTCCCTCGTGGCCGCTCAAATTGGGCTCGATGAGGCGAAGTTGGTCAAGGACGCTTGCCTCTCTTCTGAGGATGACCAGCGCGAGTATTTGGAGCATGTGAAAAGGCTAGACGAAGAGCTCCACGGCTGGCATCTGATGCGGAAGGTAGTGCCTGGTGATGGGGACTGCCAGTTCCACGCCATCATTGCAGCGCTCCGCGAGGTTGGGCTCGATGAAGGGAACGTGATGGACGTTCGAGTCAAAATTTATCACCAACTTCAGCATGACGCGTGGAAGTACCAGGATTTTGTGGCCACGGACGATTACCCCGCATGGTGCAGCACCATGCTTCACCGTGGCAATTGGGGCGATGACGTGACCATGCAGGCTGACCAACTGAAGTCCAAATTCACCTCATCATTTCCTGGGTGTGCTAAATTCCAATTGTTTTTCGCCTCATTTGTGCAATTGTTCACCTTACTCTTCAACTTTGGCAGGCCTTCGTCGATGCCACTGGCTATGCAATCAAGATCTATTCATTGCACCCTGATGCCGGGGCTGGTGATCTCAAGCTGCGCATCACGTGGAAAATGCCTTACTGGCTCGATGATTTGGACACGCCAGAGATCGTGTTGACGATCTGCCACATGATGGACAGAGGGGGTGGAAAACACAGGTTTTATCACCTCATCGTTTGTCTTTTTTTGCCTCATCCTTGGTGTTCTTTCTTTGGTCACACACAGGAGCACCACTTTGACACCGTGGTTCCCCTAAAGAAGGGCAAGAGAGCCGCGGCTCCGGAGCAGAAGCCCGAGAAGCGGAAGGCAGGCTACGACCTGCGCGACCGCAAGCCTTCGAAAGCAGGGATCGAAAAGCACAAATACGCGATCTCTGAAGACAAAGTGGACCCTGATGTGAGGGAGTACTTTTTCACCACGGTGCAGAGCTCGAAGGCTAAGGGATCCCCGAGAAACAGGGTCTGCGGGGAAGCGACTGCCAAGATTCATTGGTATTCCCTGCGCCAGCTTCTTGGATGGGTCGACAAACACAACGTGTCTCCCGAGAAAAAGTCCATCACAGAATTGCTGGTGGACCATGATGTCCTCAAGGCCTACTACGTTCATCTCGAGGAGGACCTCTCTTTTCACCTTATCTTTGTGTGTCTGGGTTATATTGTCATTGCGTTTTCACCTCATCATGTTGTTTTTTGACCTCATCTTTCCAGGACGACACATGCAGAGGCACCAAATGGACTCCCGGCGCCATTGGCCTCATCACCAGATCATTGGTTGTGGCGTTGCAGGTCCTGGGCCCGAAGTACTTGGAGGGGTCCAAGAAAGTCAAGAAGCGCCAGATCCAGCGGACGATCGATTTGATCCGCAGTCTTGGCAAGACTTCCGCAGAAAAGCGGGCCATCGAAGGCTGCGGCCTTCCGGCTGGGAAACCTTTGGGCGACCCGCCGCTGACTGCCGAGGAGCTAGTCGACAACGCGATCAAATGGAGCCAGCGCTGCCGGAATCAGGCCCTTCGTAACGAAGCCTTGCCAGAGGGCACTCCGGAGTCGGAAGCGGAGTACATGCAAGCGCGGCTCGCACGATATCGTGCGTTCGGCCTTGCATGGAGCTTTGTCTTTCAGACGACGGAGCGGATCGGTACAGCCCATAACCTGGAAGCTTGGCAGCAATGTTTCTACCTCATCATTCAAATTTAGGCTTGCCAACTATCCATTTTTCACCTCATCTCTGCTTGTCATTGTTGGTTTATCACCTCATCGCATCCTAGGTCCTGAACCGAACCCTGCACTGGGACGAAGACGCTGAGGCGTACTTCTTCGTGGCGGCTGGCGTGAGCCCCGTGAAAACTGAGAAGGCGAAGCGGCTGAGCCGCGGGTACTTCGTCAGTCGCAAGTTCCTCTCTAAAAAGTGGAGCGCCGAATTCAGTGCATGGATGGAGACTGACTGGCCCATTCTTGTGTCATACTACAAGTTGCCGGCTGAAGGCCCCACTTTCAAACCTCCGGCGCGCCCCGGTTGTGCCCCTTTCCTCCCAATCCCGTACGACACCTTCCGAAAAGGAATTCGGATGGTATGCAGAGCCTGCTCCACGGATGTCAGGGGAGCAGCAGAGGGGTACTTGATCGTTGACCCCGAGATCACCGGGCGGCTCCACCAGGCAAGTTTGATAATTCGTTTCTTCTTCATCGGTTCACGAGTAGGCAATAAACGCATGAATTTGTCACCTCACCCTTTCAATGTTTCCACCTTATCATGTCCTGGGTTCCAATCATTCGGCCTTCCTGCCCTGAGGTGCGAACGCTGCAGAGGTTCGTCGGGCACGACGAAAAGACGTCGTTGAAACACTATCATGTGTTGGGGAGCCGCGCCCTGTCTTCGAAGTTGCAGAAGCTCAGCGACAAAGCATCGAAGAAGACCAAAACGGCAAAGAAGGCTAAGAAATAGTGGGGTTTCACCACTGGGCTTGGTCAGCTCGAATCATATCATTCTTTTGCGACTCGCTCTCGCCTGTGGCGTTGTGAGTCCAGCGGTCTCCCGCACACCCACCTTTTCGCAGCACAGGCAGGAAAAAAAGGCCCGCATTTCTGCCTCATCATTGTGCAATTTGCACCTCATCTTTTCATACGGCCTCTGCATGTCAACCTGCGCAGGCCTCATCTTCTTCTTCTTGACTGTGACTGTGCTCTGGGCGGGATGCGACGCCCTAAATACGCGTAGTTTTTCCCTCTCAACGGCGCTCGCCTTGACGTGGCGGGAGGGCTCAGTACCAGACAGCGTCTGAGAAGCTAAGTAGCGCCACACGTTTACTATCTCATCCGGGCAAAGATTAGGCTGAAAAGAGTAGTAAACCTACACATTTTCTACCTTATCGTGGTGTCAATTGCTCAATTTCCACCTCATCATTGCACACTTTCCACCTCATCCAGCCCCCTTTTGCCACCTTCAGCCCCAAAGCTTATTCCAACACACCATTTCCATTTTGGTTGGCCACCGTCCAGCCAAAGCTGAAAAAGTGGCAATCCGTAAGTGTTCTGTAATACAAATTTAATACTTAAAGCACACCCTTCAAAAAATGCTTCCTGAAACCAGTGGACTTGACAATTGGAGCAGGTTGCTGCTTTAGGCTCCAAATGTGTGTGTTTGCTTCAATTGAGCAATGCTTTTTCACCTCATCTTTGGTCAGGTCAGCTGAAAAGCACCTGGGGCCATCAAATTGTCCACCTCATCATTGCACACTTTCCACCTCATCCTGCCCCCTTTTGCCACCTTCATCCCCAAAGCTTATTCCAACACACCATTTCCCTTTTGGTTGGCCACCGTCCAGCCAAAGCTGAAAAAGTGGCAATCCGTAAGTGTTCTGTAATACAAATTTAATACTTAAAGCACACCCTTCAAAAAATGCTTCCTGAAACCAGTGGACTTGACAATTGGAGCAGGTTGCTGCTTTAGGCTCCAAATGTGTGTGTTTGCTTCAATTGAGCAATGCTTTTTCACCTCATCTTTGGTCAGGTCAGCTGAAAAGCACCTGGGGCCATCAAATTGTCCACCTCATCATTGCACACTTTTCACCTCATCCTGCCCCCTTTTGCCACCTTCATCCCCAAAGCTTATTCCAACACACCATTTCCCTTTTGGTTGGCCACTGTCCAGCCAAAGCTGAAAAAGTGGCAATCCGTAAGTGTTCTGTAATACAAATTTACCACTTAAAGTACACCCTTCAAAAAATGCTTCCTGAAACCAGTGGACTTGACAATTGGAGCAGGTTGCTGCTTTAGGCTCCAAATGTGTGTGATTGCTTCAATTGAGCAATGCTTTTTCACCTCATCTTTGGTCAGGTCAGCTGAAAAGCACCTGGGGCCATCAAATTGTCCACCTCATCATTGCACACTTTTCACCTCATCCTGCCCCCTTTTGCCACCTTCATCCCCAAAGCTTATTCCAACACACCATTTCCCTTTTGGTTGGCCACTGTCCAGCCAAAGCTGAAAAAGTGGCAATCCGTAAGTGTTCTGTAATACAAATTTACCACTTAAAGTACACCCTTCAAAAAATGCTTCCTTCCTGAAAAGGAACC